AACTCGGACCGCCACGCAACCGGCGCATCGTCGGCTGCAATTCCGGCTACTTCGCAGCACATAGAGCGGTTGAGTCTGACCTAAAGACGTCTTTTGACTCGGACTTAGGCCTTTTCTGAAGGAGTTTGACTTAAAATGCCTTTCGCCTCGAACTTGGAAGTGTTGGAGGAGTCGGCTTAGAAAACAGCTAGAGGGGGACTGTTGGGCTTCTGAACTGATCTATTTAATGGGCTTATTAAATAGACCAGTTAATGTAGTTAGTGGGCTGAGTGGGTGTAACCGATTTGACCTTTGAGGTGCTCTCATTAATGAGCTAGCAACTCTTGGGCTGAATCAGAGACCTAGCTAAAGCCTTCCGAACAACAATAGAGATCTTCTCTTTTTTGAAGCATCCTCCAGAAAGCTGGAGTGCTTGTTTGCGTCCAACTTTGTGCCGGACCGAGGAGGTCATCGTTTAGTGGCTAAACCTTATCAAGGTGATCGGAAGCAATTTGGAAGCATTTTAGAAAAGTTCATATTCCCTGTCTTGATTCTTCCCTTTTGTTTTAACAATATCTGTACTTTGCCTACTATTCTCTACCTTGTGAACAATGAGAGATGCAAGCCATTCATCGAGGGGGATGAGTATATGCGTGTAGGCGGCGGAATGAGATCTCAAAGCGTCCCTCACGGAGGGAGGTGATGGAGCTAATGGACCTTGGACAAGCACCAGCAAAAAAGGATCACAGTGACGATAACAGTACTGGGGAAGTTCAATCCAGTGGCGGAGGAGTTGCATAACGCCTTGCGGTGTCAGGAGAGTACAGCACATATATAGTTGCTTACGTTTTACCACCACAGAAATTGCTTATGTTTTACTTTTCCTAAATTAATTAATTAAGTTATGTCAACGTCGGGACATCTGTTTGTTTGCAAAAATGGGAAGGGGAAAGCCTGCCAAATCTGACAAAAACTGTCAGTTTTGGCAGGCTTTCTTGCAAAAACGCCTCTTTAGAAGCGTTTTTGCAAGAAAGCCTACCAAAACTTACAGTTTTTGTTAGATTTGGCAGCTTTCCTCTAACTTTCTCCTTAAAAAAAAATGAAACAAACGGGCCAAAGACCAAACCTCAGGCCCCCCACCGGTAGTTTGTTTTAGTTCGGAGTTGGAATTGTTTTCTTCGGAAGTTTATTTAGTTAGGAGTTGGGGGTTGTTTCTCTCTTTTTCTTTGTGAATTTCAGGTACCAGGATTAATTTTCAGGGTTGATCCCACTCACAAAAACGACTGAAGGGATTATCTTATGATTTATGAGTACTTTTTAGATTTGAGCATTTGGGGATAATGGCCGTTGTTCGGTAACTATTGAAAATTTTGGGAGATGACGAGTTGGCAAATGGCAAGAGAGAATGCTAAGAGGCAAAGCCACGTCGGCTCAAAAATTTACTGTACATCGATCTCAAGAGAGCGTCTAGAGTGGTGTGACACAACAAATTTCCGCATAGATTAAATTTAAAATAACTAGTTTATAAATAAGGATAAAAGGCTCATAGGTTGCGAGTTCCGATAAAGTAGAACCCTAGCATAATACTTAAATGCATTGAACATAAATTATGGTCATATTTTTAAGGAATTTGTATGTACGCCCTGACAGGAATGAACACAAATTTAGATAATTGCAAATGTATCCAATCCCTATGAATAACCACTCTAAGCGTAGGATTTTTTTTTTCTTTTGCTGAAATCTCATCTTTGTAGGCAGAAGTTCAACGGGACTGGCTGAACAGTTGTTGTTTTTATTTATTTTTTATTTATTTTTTTGTGTGTTTTTTTGTTTTTTGTTGTTGTTGGTGGTGGTGGTGGTGTGGGTGGGGTGAGTGATTCTCATAACTGACTTGAGACTAAACCTACTACTAACACATACAATAATACCAACAACCCTCATCAAACTCATGTTGGATCAACCAAAGTGAGTTTGCATAGAAAAAAACTAGAATCGATGAAACATGTAAGACCTTCGTGAAGAAATCTGCAAGCTCATCGGTGGATGAGACATGAGGAAGTTGAATTGTCTTGTCCTTGATAACTTGTTGACGAGCAGAATGAGCGTCGATCTCAATGTGTTTCGTCCTCTCATGAAATACTGGATTATTAACAATATGGATGACACTCTTATTATCACAGTAGAGGGGAGTATGAGTTGGAACAGAAATATCGAAAT